GGGATCTACAACCCATAAGTTCTCGTTGAACCACTTTGTTGGTATCAAAAATTGTAGCAGCCTCGTTAGTTTCCTCTTTCTGACATATGAGATATATTTCGGTTAACAATAAACTAGTATTCATTGTTTTCTTTTTCTATACTGTGTGTTAGACAAGAACAGAAAAGTTGTTGAATCGTTTATTCTTTCTACTCAACATGAGAACTTCTGCAGAGTATTGGATAAAGTACCTATATTTGAGGTTTATTGACATATAAGACAGTATTCCCTTTAAATCGATATAATGTTCATATTATAATTAACAATATTCAATAATTATATATATATATATCTATTAATAAATATATTATCTTTTTAATAATAATTTTTATTATTCATCTTTACAGTAATCATGTCGACAATTGGCCAGATGAGCTTTGTATATGAATATGTTATTTCGGTATCTACATACCATATTTATTTTTTAGACAGGGTTTCACCTATAAGTTAGAAAGTGGCACAAAGCCAAGATTTAAGTAAATAAAATTTATTAGTATTGACATTATACTATTAAAATACTATTAAAGCCACATTACTGATAAATGCTTACTTAGTTACTTACTACTGTCTTTCTCTCTTAGTGGAGCTTAGAGCCTTAGTGAGCCTTATTAATACTAATAAATTTATTGGTATCCATGAATTTATTCTGATATGAATTTAATATTAAAGATGATTCATTAAGAGATTAATAGATAATAGATTAATGTCTGTAACATAAACCCTGGGGTCTTAGCGATGCAAGTAGAAAAAGTGATTAACAGACTCGTTCTTCTATTAAAATCTAAATGTGCAGTACTGTTAGTTCTTTATGATTCTATATTTATTTGACAGAATATGATTAGAAAGAATAATTCTAAAGAATTTGTTGTTATTCATATAAATTTAATAGTTAAATATTTTTCGAATACTTTCGAATAAATAATGAATTTAATTTAATATGTAAAGTCATTCCTGCCATATTGTATATAAATCTGAGTCACTTTAACTTCGCTAAATATGAATCTATTTGATTTTAATCAATTAAAGAAGAACTTATGTATTGAATACTTAGTATCTTTTATTGAGAATGGAAGATCGAAACGAATTTTATTCATTTCAGAGAAAATATTGTCTTAAATCAACTGATAAATGTCAGTTTCCTTTTAGTTCGAAAAGCTTCTATCGGTTTTTTAGGTGCCGTTACTGAAAATATGTAAAAACTTTTATTGCGCCTACAATTTATGTTTCGCTGTTGATGATATCGCATTTCATTAAAATTTCATCCATCCGTACTTCCATCCATCGACAGCGCACAAGACCAGCCTCTCCATCCACATTTAATATTTGATAAACATTCATAATAAAAAAAAAAAGTTGCATTAATTCAATATGGAATGAGAGGAGTGCAGAGTGATGAGAGTGGTGTGTGGTGTACGGTATTTGGAGTATATGAGTGATGGCAACGTTATTGAAATAAATTATTGTAAATAAATACAAGTCGAATTTATGGAATTTATGAAGTCAGTTATTATGTTTACATTGAGGACTGTGTCATTACTTTTGTTTATGCAGGAAAATGATGTCTGTCAAGGCGTGTTGAGCAGTGTCGTTAAAATAAATGGATTATTACGCCAATGACAGTCGATGCTCCACGCTACTCCAAGCTATTCCACGGCACTAACATCAATAACAGAACAAGAATAATAAACAAACAAAATAAAAACATAAACAGAAAACCCAACAACAAAAAACAAAAAAAAAACCAACAAAAAACAAAAAAAAAACCAACAAAAAACAAAAAAAAACAAACAAATACATAAAAAACAGTAGAGGATTAAGTCAATGTTTAGACTAAAGGTTCCCGCTTGGCGCTTGGCATGGGTATTAGCACACAATGGACTGCGGTAAAGTTTGAGAAGCGCTATTACATACTCGTATGCCAATAGTTTAGGAAGAGGTTCTAAAAAGCCATAACTTCCTCGAAGGAAATAAACATTTTTCATTTTCTAAGTAGTTCTCATTATTAGTTTTCTTTGGTTCAACTTACAAGTTTTTGCTCTTCGTGCTTTCATGAAAATTTATTATTATTTCTTTGAATGAAAAGTCTTGACATCGGCAGTTTTCATTTTTATGTGTTTACTTTGGCAGGGAGAGAAGCATAGACTTTTCGTCGATAGTCTATGCTTTACTTCATCTTGTAAACATTCAAATTAATTTATTACGTATATACGAGCAGTACGTACATATATGCAAACATAAAAAAACCATGTAGAAGAAGGCAAAATATTGTTTACAAGACCATTTAGATGCGGTCTTGTGAGTTGAAGCGGTTGCCATACGACTTGCGATAGTACAAAAACCATGACAACTAAAAAAAGTAAAATTCGCAGAAAAAAAAATTTTCAAGAAAATTTGTATCAAAAGATTTTACTCAAGAAGTATTTGTGAAAAAATTAATAAATCATCAAAATACATACTACCAATTCACTATTAGTTCCATTTAGCATTAACATTACAAAAATATGATGAATATATATTATAAAGACATAGATTCAAAACATATCAGAAATTTGAAATATCTGTTTATTAGTGAAATCATTGGATCCTCAAAGCCTATGATTATTGAAATTATAATTAAGAACGTTTCTATTAATATAAACGAAATATGAGTATATAAGACTTCCCTGTAGGAAGTAATCGCCTGGATCCCTCTTTTTAGTGTAGAGTACGTCGTTTATTAATCTATATTGACAAATTGTCGGCTGAATATACTTGCAGTCACAGAAATGGTTATGGGCTCATGATGGTAAAACAATTCCAGTCGTGCAGCTTTAGTCTATTCAGATCAACCAATGACTGGTAGTCTGGATGTCAAAATAAGATTAAATTAATTTTGATAAATTATAGTTTTATATATTGAAATTTCTTCTGAAAATTTACGTCTATATATAAAATCTTGATAAAGCAAAAGTTGACCTAAAATATTTCGCTAAATACACAAAAACTGAAAAAAGGAAAAGAAAAGTGATATTGCTCCTGATGCAGAGCTGAATATAAGGCAACCAGGGAAATTGTCTGTTCATTATTCTTTTCAAAACTACAGTTTTTATTGTGGAAAAAGGCGCGAAAATATAAATTACTAATCAATTTTTTACAAAAATTGATACTTGGACCTCCTGCTATACTTTCAGGATATATCCACGGCTGCATATCACGGCTAGCACTTTATTAAGAAAAGGATCTACAAAACCGCTTAAAAATCTCTAAGATAGAATTGACAAAGATGTGATAAGTCGGGAAATGATGAGATGGATGGGATGAATCTACTGTAAAACTGTAAAAGTCATGTGCACATCAAGTGAATAAAAGTGTAAATTATTTCAACCAGGCTAGTGACAGGAAAATTGCGGAACTATAGTAGGTAAACACTGTCCATTAGCTGCGCACATGAAGTATAAATAGATGATATCAATAGTCAATATCAAAAGTCAGTATTGATAGTCAATATGAAAAGTCAATATCAAGAGTAAATATTGGTAATCAATATCAATAGTCAATATTGCTCAATAATACTAAAATAAATAGTAAAGTACTATTGATAGATAATGTAAGCTGACAATGTAAAGATCTGTCAATAAAGGAGACTTTAGGACATTTATTATAATTATGTCCTATATTATTACGATAAGTAAGATAAATACTTACTTACTTACTTATGTGGCCATAACAACCCGTTACCGAGTTTCGGCCTGACGCAGCATGTCTCCCCAGGCGCCTCTGCTGCGTGCGCGCCTTCTCCAGTCTCGTATATCAAGTCCAGTTAGTGCTTCCTCAACTTGATCACTCCACCGGAGACACGGTCTACCTCTACGTCTTCTTCCGCCAACTACTGCTTCAAACACCTTTTTCGCCGGAGCGTCTTCATCCATTCTCACGACATGACCAAGCCAGCGAAGCCGCTGGATGTTAATGCGCTGAATTATATCAATGTCGTGATAAAGCTCGTACAGCTCGTGGTTCATTCTAATGCGGTAGTCGTCACCAACTCGTAGAGGACCAAAGATCTTACGAAGAACTTTTCTCTCGAACACTCCCAGTGCTGCTTCATCATTCTGTGATAACGTCCATGCTTCTGCGCCATACAGAAGCACAGGGAGGATGAGCGACCTATAGAGCGTAAGTTTCGTTTGTCGAGAGAGAGCTCTACATCCCAATTGCCTACTGAGCCCATAGTAGCACCTATTAGCAATGGTGATTCTTCGTCTGATCTCCAGACTGACATCATTTGTATTCGTTACGGCGGTGCCAAGGTAGATGAAATCCTTGACAGATTCGAAAGTATAGTCGCCAGCCACTAGCCCGGTGTCCGAGCGACGCACATTTCTACCAGTAGCCGACATATACTTCGTTTTTCCCTCATTCACCGCTAAACCCATTCTTGCAGATTCCTTTTCGATAGCAGCAAAAGCAGCTGTAACATCACGCTTGCTACGCCCAATGATGTCAATGTCGTCGGCGTAAGCAAGGAGCTGGACACATTTGTAGAATATTGTTCCATTGCGATGAACACCTGCCCTGCGCATGATCACTTCCATGACGAAATTGAAGAGGTCACATGATAAGGGATCACCTTGTCTGAAGCCTCGCACGGTATGAAAAGGTTTAGAGAGACTCAATCCTACCTTGACGGAGCTACGGGTATTACTCAGCGTCATTCTGCAAAGTCGAATTAATTTTGCAGGGATACCGAGCTCAGACATTGCGGCGTAAACGCGATCCCTAATGGGGCTATCGAAAGCTGCTTTATAATCGACAAAAAGGTGATGAGTATCGATGTTATGTTCGTGGGCTTTTTCCAGGATTTGTCGCAGTGTGAATATCTGATCAATGGTGGAGCGACCAGGTCGAAAGCCGCACTGATAAGGTCCAATCAGTGAGTTGGCATGTGGCTTCAACCTTTCACACAGTACAGTTGAAAGAACCTTGTACGCGACAGGTATCAGGCTAATCCCGCGATAGTTGGCGCAAATCGTCGGGTCACCTTTTTTCAAGACAGGACAAAGGCTACTGAGATTCCAATCGCAGGGCATACTTTCATCTAACCATATTCTGCAGATAAGCTGATGCATGCACCCTATCAGCATATCGCCGCCGGCCTTGAACAATTCAGCAGGCAGGCCATCTGCGCCTGCCGCTTTGTTGTTCTTAAGTCGCTGTATAGCAACACGCACTTCGTTATGGCTAGGTGGTGGAATTTCAACATCATCATTTTCGATTGGGGATACAGAGGGCATTTCTTCAATGGCAGAGTTGATGTTATCATCGCCAGATAGCAGTTTGGAGAAATGCTCCTTCCATACTTTCAGTACATTCTGCGTATCTGTAACCAGATTACCATTTTCGTCCTTACAGGTTGATGCACCAGGCTTAAAGCCTTGAGTCAGACGGTTGACTTTTTGATAAAATTTACGGGCATCATTCCTATTTCTACACACCTCGATTTCCTCTCGCTCGTGCCTTTCTTGATCTCGTTTCTTCCGTCTGAATAGGCACCTCTCTACCTTCCTCATCTCCCGATATTGTTCATGCACGGTTCGCGTTGCTGCTGACTGCAGGGTCCTTTTATAGGCCGCGTTCTTCGCAGCAGTAGCTTGGCGACACTCTTCGTCGTACCATTGGTTTCGCCGTGGGGGACGTTGGAAACCAAGGACATCTTCCGCTGTTGTGCGTAGGGAGTGAGAGATATGTCCCCACTGTCTACCGGCATTATCGGAACGGGAGGGTTGGTTGTTTAATCGGCTAGAGAGCTGAGCGGCGAAGGCTTCGGCTGTCTCTCGTGATCGCAGCTTATTAACGTCTAGTTTTTTCTGAACATTGGAGCGTACGTTGTTGGCGGTACTAAGCCGCATGCGTACCTTGGCTGCGACAAGGTAGTGATCTGAGTCGATATTTGGACCACGGAATGAACGTACGTCCAGCACACTAGAAGCGTGCCTTGCGTCAATCACGAAGTGATCAATCTGGTTTCGTGTTGCTTGATCGGGAGATAGCCACGTTGCCTTGTGAATATCACGGTGTGGGAATCTGGTGCTACATATGTACTACCATATTTCGCGCCGCAGCGAAATCAATTAGCCTTAGACCGTTGTTGGAGGTTGATTCATGGAGGCTAAATTTTCCGACAGTTGGACCAAAGACTTCTTCTCTTCCAACCTTTGCATTAAAATCCCCGAGAACAATTTTAACGTCGTGGGCGGGACTGCGGTCATAAATTTCCTCGAGTCTCGCGTAGAATGTATCTTTGGTCAAGTCGTCCTTTTCTTCTGTCGGCGCGTGAGCGCAAATTAACGTGATGTTAAAAAATTTTGCCTTGATACGGAGTGTGGCAAGCCTTTCGTTCACCGGTGTGAATCGCTGGACTAATTTTGATAGTCTCTTGCTTACCACAAAACCGCATCCAAATTCACGTCGATTTGCATGGCAGCTGTAGTATACATCACAGTTTGCTCTTTTAGAGCAGCCTTGTCCTATCCATCGCATTTCCTGGATGGCGGTGACGTCAGCCTTACATTTATTGAGGGCTTCCGCCAGTTGGATAGAGGCACCTTCCCTATAGAGGGTCCGGACATTCCAGGTGCATATCCGTAAATCATAGTCCTTTAATCGTTTGCATTGGTCGTCAACGTTATTCGGTTTCCAGTTCCGAGGCATTCTTGCGTCCTTCATTGGTGGTTGATTTTACGTGACGGGTACCAAACCCTGTGCACAACCCAAATTTAAAGTCCTGGGGATAGGACTCGCCGTACGCACTATTAGTTCATTACCCAGCGGGTGCCAGGTAACTATCCAGGGGTGCCACGAGGAGGCTGTGCGACAACTTGGATTGAGGACAACAAGGATTGCGCTGGCATTTTCCATGTTAAATGCAATCAGACACGTTGCCTTGTGTACTCGCTCCCAGAGGGCACGCGGGCCCCCCCCAAGTAAGATAAATACTTCTGATATATATTATTTATTTTGTGATATGATATGTATTTGTGAAGTAGAAGAACTTCGAGGTTTTAAGCAGTCTTTAGACTCGCAAAAAGTAGTCATTCTACTTTGATGTTTACTCTAATACATTTTTACACAAAGTATCTGCCCAGTCTGCATTCGTTAAAGATCAATAATTTTGAAAATAGTCATTAATTCTATTTCGCAAAAGCAGTTACAACCTATCTACTAGATATCTGCTAACAGGTTTTTTCTCGAATACCTATTGCTAGGGAGCAATACGAGTAAGTGCAGCTTAAGGCCTAGTCGTAAAAGCAGCAACATCCTATATGATGCTTACTAAATATTTACACAAAGATTTTGTTCCAACTAGTATTAGTAAGGAGTAATAGTTGAAAAGTTAATGACCAGCCATATTATCTTAACATAAACTAACAAATGGGTCAGGTATATACAGTTCATTTGAGCTATCATAAAGGTTAGGTTTCATCTTCTTGAGGTCATGGTATAAGGAAAATTTCTTAATGCATAGCATTTATTTCTCGTTTTTGAGTTCATTAGACATTCGCAAAGACTATTCGGATGGATCGCACAGTTTTAAAGAATTTTTAATTCAAATAATATTGATACAATACTTTCTATTTTAATTGGACCGAAGAGTATAAGGGAATGCGAGTACATATATTAAAATTGTACTTTTAACTATTTTGTATTTTTATTAATTATTTTTCTTTGGTATTGCTAATAGCTATGAATTTTACTTCCAGAATTATGACATAGAAAATGAAGAAATTATTTTAATTATAAATAATTAATTTTTTAATCATATGAGCTGCGTTTGAGAGTATCTAGCACCCTGGTTTGAAACTGTTAATACATTCTAATATATTCGAATATATTCCAGATAAGATTTCATGCGAAATGAACAATATTTTTTAGTGGATCCAGTGAACAGTGATTTTCTTTTATTTTGCAAATCGTAAAATTTTAGTTTCGTTTCAACTTTTCACATTTTGTCCGCCCGTCTCTCGCTTGTACTTCCTTTTATTGCAGTGAAATTATACATACAATGCGAAACACAAAAGTATCTTTTACTGCAGCGAAACTAAGTTTTGCACGGTTTGTTCACATGATTTACGAGTTCAGTCACTGAGACGGAACTGGCAAATTGCATGAAACTGCAGCATTGGCGATCCCTCAGCTTGCCATCTAGAATATAAAAAGTTTGCGAGAAAAAGGTGGAGTTTAGTTTATATAAAATAAATTCTAGCTACAGCAAATCTACTGGCTTAAGATTTGCAAATTTATTATACTAAGCAAGTAAAACAAGTATAAATAGTATGAGTAGTATCAGAAGACGAAAACACGTAGAAATAAAACTGAAAATGGTTGGCAGAAGAATCAGAAGATACACAAATAGCGGGAAATTGTAATAATGCAATGAAACTACTGGAAACATGTCACATCAGTGTGATGTCCTCTGCTCCTCCGGCATTAAAAACGGAGCCAAGTTTTCATATTGATGTGACTTATTACTTTTGCTCTGCTTAAAAGCTCAATGAAATTAAGTCGTAAAAAGATTCGCAAAACTTTTTCCTCAACGAAAATATAAAAATGCCGGAGATTGGATTAGTTTTATCAGAAATGAAAAGCATAGTTGAACAAACTGACGCATGAATAAAGATAAATGGTCCTTTTTATGTTTGTATTACTCCAGAAAAAATGAAATTATAAATAAATAAATTTTTGTATATGCCATGGAGTGAAGAGCGAATAGCGAATAGCAAATGTCGAATGTCGAATGGTGAATGTTGAACTGAAAAACAAGAAATAAATTCTATGCATTAAGAAGTTTTCCTAATGCCATGAGCTGAAGAAGATGGAATGACTGACATGAGCCAAGCATCTTCAATATGACAACAACGTTTGTTTGTTTCACCTTGATATCAACTTTCATCTAAATTTTCATCTTAGCACGTATACAGGATCTGCATAATTTATAACTGAACATCAACTTGCACAGGATTACCCTAGAAAATTAGGTTTTCATTTCATGTACGTTGCGCATTTTGGTGGCATATAAAAAAATCATACTGCCCGGGCAAGGAAAGCCACCAAAAACCAACAACCGAAAGCCAACCATCCAACAGCCAACAGAAGCCAACATGTTGAAATAAATTTATATATTTTTGTTCATTTTATGACTAATATCTGAGAATACGTACAAGTACACGAGTAGTAGCACATCTCGAAATGAATGCGCCAGCAGTCGAAAAATAAACACTATTCGGTCCTAGTGTGGGTACGAGTGTGGCAGAAATGCTTTTGATTACTTTTTCAAAAAAGCAAAAATAAAAAAATACAAATCACAAATTACAAAAATATCAGGAATGAAAATATAAAAATTTGTTTTTGCAACATTTCCCATTATGAAACAGGCAAATACACATATAAACGTAGAATGTATCTACGACTGGTGAGCCATTGGCAGCGCATGTATCTGGCATAAGCTGCACTTCACACTCGTTGCAGCATTTGATTATGCATGTCTCATACACAATAAACATAAAAATATTTTCATAATATTTTGTTTTTTTGTTTTTTTTTTGTTTAAATATCAAGTATTTCAAAATTCTTGAAGATATTTTTCATTTTAAAATTTTTATTGACAATTTTGCAAATACACCAAAAATAAAAATTTGTATTAAATTCCAATTGAAAAAGTTGAATCAAAATTGTCAAACAGAAATAAAAGACATACTCACATATTTATCAGTATACGTACATACAGTAAGAACATGTTCCCACTGCAGTTAAATCAATTTATATTAATTAAATTAAGATTTGTTCGTTTCCATTGGCAAAAGTGAATTTGTGCATATGAAAGAACTTTTATGTGTCAGAAAGTTGATTGAGAGTTATGGGAGACCTTTTGTTTGTTCACATTTCAATTAGAAATTATCAAAAAAGAATAGGAGACATTGTGACATACTCATCAATATGCATATAGTAATACTATGTTCCCATTGCAGTTAAATCAATTTATATTAATTAAGTTAAGATTTGTTCGTTTCCATTAGCATAAGTTGGTTTATGCACAGGAAAGAACTTTTATGTGTCAGAAAGTTGATTGTGAGTTATAGGAGAGCTTTTGTTTGTTCACATTTCAATTAGAAATTGTCAAAAAGAAATAGAAGACATACATAATCATCAATATACATACAGTAAGAACATGTTCCCATAGCAGTTTAATCAATTTATATTAATTAAGTTCCATTGGTAAAGGTTTATAAATGCATAGGAGAGAGCTCTGTGAGAGTTCGCGAAGATTTTTATTTATTTTAATTTCTATTAGAAAATAATATTTGCTTTTGTATTATTAGCAGAAAGTATTTAATAGATTATGGAGAAAGTAGAAAATGCAAGGAATAGTTATTAGGAACACGATGTAAAAAATACAAAAGACCTTTAAAAATTATATACAAAAGTATAGAAGAATAAAAACATTATGTATGGTTTTTGAATGATAATTCTATTAATAGAGAATCAAAATCTCATTTAAAAAAGTTTTCATAAAAAATTTTAAGAAAAGAGCCTATTTTGTGCTGTTATAGAACTAAAGAATAAATTTCAGAATATTTCGGAAATGAGATATAACAAGAAAAAGGTTCATAGAACCTTTAATCCTTTAAAATATATTAAAAGGACATTCTATTATTTCCAATGCGTTATAACATATTAAGCCGTAAGATAGTTATAAAAAACTTGCGATAAGTTCCCTACTAGGCATATAATCCACAGATAATACTTTGCAAAAGCATTGCAAAGGAAATATTTGCTTGTATGTTCCCCCCTTAACCCAATCATGGCTGCTCCATAACAATTGGGTATAATTCCTTGTTTATTTGAATGTTATATACTTAATGTTAATATAGGTATAAATAAGTTTTAATTAAAAATATAAATATTTTCCTATGTACCTCAAGCGCTAATCAAGAAAATCAGGAAATGGTTTAAAATTACAACAAAAAAATATATATAATATTAATAAGTAATGGAGCATTTTTCTAATACCAGATTTTTTAATATTAAATCTGTAAAACGTTTTTAATGAACTTAGTAAAATCAACTAATTTTTTATATTTTATGAACTATAAAATATATATTTTATTCTAATGTAAAATGCATTGAACTTACCATTACTGTACAACACATGATCTCCAACAACGCGGAATCTATAAAAATAAAAAAAAAATTTAATAATAAAATTAATTTAATTATAAAAAATCCAATTATATATTCTACATACAAGCAATAAAAAACTTGATTATATATATTAACATTCGCAGATATATAAAGCAAACAATTCAATATACATACTTCTATCTGAGAAGTAACATTATGTGTCTTGAGAGTAGTTACTACACTAGGAAATTCGAATTTTCATATTAAGAATTCATTTTAAATTGAATCATAATGAAATTAAATTCATAAGTTCAGTGAATTATAAAAAATCGGTTATTTATATAATCATAAAAAATTTTAATATACTTTGAAGTGATATCCCCGCGTCTCTCATTTGCATATCAACCTCATTTATGACCAGACAATCAGTAATGCAAAAATCTCACATTTGCAAATTGTTAAAAATTACTATTAAAAAATCTATTCAACAGTGCAGAATCTGCATTGCAAAACCATAAAAAGATGAGTTTCGC